TTCAACTCCTTGAAGCCGTCATGCTCGCACAGAAATGCTGCGAGCTTCGTGGAAGAACCTTAGACCGTGAGGCTGTGTGGCAGCACTCACTGATTGCTGCTCTGTGGCTGTGGAGAGGCTTTGCCACTTTGCTTGGATGGCTGCACTTGCCATCGGGGCTGTGCTAGCCCCTTTTCTTCGCCATCTGACCCGGTGTTTTTACCCCCGATGCAGTATCAGGAAGGAAAAAAGAGAGGTCCGTGCGCTGCGAGCTCTTGTTTACATTGATCGAAGATATCTCGGATCATATTGGGAATGAGAATTTTTCCTCGAAGTTTCTATATGTTTCGATTCCCCACATATCTTTTGGGGAATACAAATCTGCAAGGCCGGCTCGCCTCCTTCCAGACAGTCCGAATTCAAGAGCTTCCCAAACAATGGCAGTAGAATCGATGCAGAAAAGTCCTGGTGCACCGCCGCATTGTCGGCACAGGATCGCTTGTCCCGCGGTGCTTCAGCCAAGTTCTCAAGCGAAGTCTGCACCTTTGGCAGCCCACCTGTGCCAGCAGCAAAGTCACGGAAGCAGCCTCTCTGTTTATCCAAGCGAATGTGCCGTCCATCGGCCACCCTGGCCGGACCGTTTGTGTCCTCGCTGGGATGATGCGCCGCTTTGTTACCGGCTGAGATCCAGAGAGCCATGGCCGCTTCAAGCTGGGCCGCAGGTGCTTTGCTGTATCGGCCTCTGCCGGGAAGGCTCTGCCAGCGCCGCCACAGCTGTGTCGGAGGTTTATGAGAGTCGTTGCCCTTATTGGGCCTCATCGATATGGTTCGCCACAGCCTTCGGCAGCTCTTCCCTCCTAGCAATGCGTCCTCCAGCCCGTCACCACATCCCATGCAGCCTTGCGCCGTACGACTGTTGTGCCTGATAACCGTTAACCTTGCATCCCGTGACTTCGCGGGCTGGTCAGTGCACACGCGGCGCTCGAAAGAGCCCTTCAAGGTCCAGATCACGAGAAGCTAAGTTCGACCTGGCCTCTGGCAGCCTGGACTTGGATGTTTTCCGGGGATTTACGATTGGAGCTTAAATAAATACCTGTACTGTTTTGGAGTTTTTTTACTATATTTATCGTATAAGGGGGCCCTAAACCCTACTCTAATTTTTCAGGCCACTATTTTAGGGTTCAAGTTTACGGTTTGAGCGTTTCGGAGATCTTTCTGGTCGTAGTATAAGTAAGAGTGTAACTGTCGCTTTAGTCATTTGGAGGATCCCATGCTTTATAGTTTTGAGCATTTCTTAGGCGCCAAGCGAAGTCAAGCTATTTTGTCATCAGAACTCCCAACGCGTTCGCAGTGTAACAGAAGACCCTATCTAGCAAACCACCTTGTGTAGCAAAAGGCTTGTAGGTAACACTATACCCAAGCTCATCATACCCCCTCGACGAGGGATTCGCAAAGCTGCGCTACATTGGGACAGTAGGTGATACCATTCCTAGTTAATCAAAAGCCCCTAAACCCCGAAACTCCTAAACCTCTAAACCCCTAAACCCCAAAATCCCCAAACCCCTAAACCCCTGAACCTCCAAACCCCTAAATCGTAAAACCTAAAGCCCTAGGCCAGAACTTTTCCCACTCTCCCCGCCCATGCTTCCGAAGCTTCATGGTAAGGAACGGCTTGGTGGATGGTGAAGCTGCAACTTATCATCAAGCTTCGGCGGAGCTAAAAACAGGGGCCTTTGCTTTTGTAAGTTTGTCTGGGTGTGCTGATATCGATGCAAGCTGCGTCTAATGCAGGGAGTAATCAGAGCAGGTTTTGGGAGTCTTGAATACTGTTTCATCAGTCACGCCGCCCCCTCATAAGTTTGTAAAGGCGCCATCAACCAAAAAAAGGACTACCTGCCAGTATTGGCTAGACATATATCTGTGTCCAGCCACATTGAGATAGAGTCACACTTTCCTTTGCAGGCACCTTTTGAATGCACAAGCCTTTCACTATATGGGTAGTTGTCAAAATTATGGTCCCTTGTTGGGTCCCCTAAATACTACGTGCCGTATTGTATTCAGGACCCAAAAAGGGACCCTAATTTTGACAGCCACCCAAATGCAGATGATCTGAATTAGAACCCCGGTGAGAGCTAGCAGGACATAAGTTGGCCATAGATTGCAAGAACATGAATGTAAGAAGAAGCATGAGAAATCACCAACACCATGTGGTAGTTTCCGAAAACAGGGGACCTCAACATAGTACCCTAAACAGTAGGACCCTTATTATATGGACCCCAACCCCAAATTAAGATACTCTGAATTTTCGATGTGTGCACGCGCATGTGCGCGCCAGGAATTGTCCCAACATCGTGCAACAGTGCTTCGTTCCATCACACAGGTAACATAGGGGCCTAAATAGTTGCCAATACTACTTTGGGGGTTCCATAATGTAAGTACAGTATAATGTACCTTCTAAAACCCTATTCTAATTAATAATGCCCCTATCAACTTCTCGTACTACTCCCAGTGTGAAGCCGCTGTTTGCAGAATCTCAGAACGACTTCCACATGTCTTGATCCCAGAGTCAAAGTTTATCTAGGTGGCAATTTGGGAAACTTTTTAATTTCCGTTATGTTTCCTATAGAGGTACCTACTCATAAATACTTTTCAGAGCCCCAAAACTACAACCCAGTTATAGTCCAGGGCTTAGGGAGGATTGCGGCATGTGAAGAAGCTCGAGATCCCTCTCAGCCCTACACCGCATGCCCCTAACGCATGCACGCGTCATGGGGCATGCCTGCAGTTTGCGCTTATGTTCCTCGAATGTCTTGGCCCTGAGTATACAGCATCCCAAGCCCAGACTAACCGCAGGTTGCTACGGAGACACAGGCTGAGTGGAGTAGCAAACAGCTCACGAGCCTAGCAGTTGGGATCCACACTCACCCCAAAATAGGTCCTAAACCTTAACACCCAAAAGCCATGAACAATCGGAAAGCGAACTCCGGATTCAAATTTTTACTTCGCAACAGTGGGGGGTCGCAGCCCGCCGGTGACATGGCCTTGGCCCATGAGGGTGAGAACACCAGGGAAAGCCCTAGCCTCTGAGGGCCTGGGACTGTCTGAACATGTGGGTGGGTTTATGGGTTAGGGTTCAGGGTTTAGGGGTTTAGGGATTGGGGTTCAGGGATTGCGGTTCAGGGTTTAGGGGTTAGGGTTTAGGTTCTGGCGGGTTGTATCGGGATCTCAACAGTTGGAATAGGGCCTAATAGGGTTCCTGTAAAGTGGTTCTTTAAGGCGTTAAGGATCTGTGGGGGGTCTAGACGGGCTCTATAGGGTTTCTACGACTTCGGGGCGTTAAGACGTGGTATGGGGTCTTGGCATATCTTGCAGCATGTAGTTGCACGGGACTATAAAAGGGACTACAACGGTAAGGATCCTACCGTTACTTGCAGGGTCGGGGGACTCAGTAAGTATTTAGTGGGCAGACTTATCATTTCCCAAAAAGATCTTTTTTACATTATGATACTTATAATGAGTCTATAGAATAACTACTGTAGTAAGTATATAGGTAGTATGTAGACTTATCAGTTCCCCCAAAGGGATGCTAATTGGGGTTATGATACTTACAATAAGCCTACAGAAACCCTAAACCCTAAACCCTAAACCCTAAACCCTAAACCCTAAACCCTAAACCGTACTAGGTCTCATGACCCTCCAAGTAGAGGTCAACAGGTTCGGGCCCAGTCCCGGAGGGTCCATATACACTACAGGGAACTCCAGAAAGTTGGAATATGGATTAATGGTAGGATCCCCTATAATTTACCTTAAAGGGGTTAGGATAATGATATTCCAACTTTCTGGCTTCTACTGTACTATTATGGCATTAGGTCCCCAAAACCATAATGGGGATGGTCTTTAGGGCCTAATTCCACAATAGTAGTATATGTGGACCCTCTGGGAGTGTTTTCAGAAAGGAACGCTGGGTGCTTTGCGGGTTCAGTGGTGAAGGGAAGTTCTTGAGAATTGAGGATGCTGCATCTGTATGGGATCTCCACAAAAAAAAGCTGTTTCGGCTGCATTCTTGGACAAGCACTCGCTTGAACTGAAACTTCCGATTTCGGGAGCTTTGTGATCTGGCTCATGCGATGCTTAAAAAATACCCCAAATTTCAAACCCTACACCCTAAACCGTAAACCCTAAGCCCTGAACCGTTTGGCCTGACGACTCATCTTCGCGGCTCCTCACATCCACCCCTAGCAGCCAAAGTTCGAAGTCGATACATAAGTCGGAATGGTCATTTCTCTTATGGTCCTCATAGAACCCTGCTATAATCCAAAGCAAAAGCCCCATACGCTTCTTTCTTCCTTGCCTCACCCCAAACCCGAAAACACTCCAGCCGTCGACCAGGCCTAGCATCTAGCAGTTTCGGATTTGACACTTTCGTCCCTGAGGGCAGCACGGGCCTTCAGTTCCATTGAGAAATATTGATGAAACAACTCGATAAAAACTGGGAGGTTTCTGCCGTTGCGACAGTTTCATGGCAATTTCTCATGGTGGGATGTTCCCATCCAGGGCCGCTTGACCTTTGACGTGGCCGATCTGCCGAAGCCCTTCCAAGGCGCGCGGGAGGTCGAAATTTCCAGATGCCCCATGAAATTCACGTGCCGAAAAAACTATCCTTTACTCACGACATGACCCTTATAGGATCCTTAGGATCCTTAGGTAACTATGCATGGAGTGTTTGGAATCTGCGCCGCTCTGAGCACAGTCAACCCTTGGAATAAACAGAGTGTTGAGCCGAAGTGTCGCCATGCTGTCAACATGAGCCGTTGATCAGACTGTTCAGCACCCTTTGAAGAACTACAGTAAGCCATCATCGGATGTCATGGGTGATCGTTGGGGCTCCATTATTGGTACCATCATCAACCATGATTCATCAGTCGCGTAGTGCACCACACGTTTAAACGTCAACGGTTTGCGACAGCCCAGTCGTTTATGGTCAAGAGGGCGTGGATATCTCGGAGTTCACCAGTAGCGCCATGGGTGACGAGGAGAAGTTCGTGGTGGATCTGGACCAGCCGGGGATTGGAGATGGTGTGAAACTTGGGGTGAAGTGTCCCAAGGAGTTTTTGGAGAAGCTGTGGGTCGATCCCCACTTCCCCCTGGACTACACCTCCATAGGCATTCCAAAAGAGGAGGCCATGAGTGTGGCCGGTCGTATGCTGGACTATGTCTGGTGCCCAATTACCTACTGCCATCCGGGCAAGCCGCTGTTCCCAGAGGATGGCATGATTGATCCTGCCACTTTGATGCAGGGGGCGCTTGGGGATTGCTGGCTCATTTCTGCCATTTCCACCATGGCGGAATATCCGGATTCCATTCGAAATCTCTTCATCACCAAGGAGCACAATGAAATCGGGCAATATGTGGTGCGTTTGTGGTCTCAAGAGTTGAGCTCCTGGGTTAGAGTGAAGGTGGATTCCTTCATGCCCCTTGACACTGGAGGCGGCGTAGCTTATGAAGGAAAGCCCTTGATCTATGTGAATCCCTGTGACGATGCTGTTTGGATGTGTGTCTTGGAGAAAGCTTTCGCCAAGATTTGGGGGAACTACATGCAACTGAACGGTGGGCTGGTCAGTGACGGTTGGAAAGTTATGACCGGGGCATCGGAAGGGGAGATTGAGAACTGGCACCTTGGCTCCAATGGCTGGGGCAAGAGATACAGCGCCTTCGACGTCCAAGATCTTGATGTCGAATGGGATGACGAGACAAAGTCGTTCCACAACCCCGACCAGGAACTGGGTCCATATACTCCTGAGGAGTTCTTCAAGTGCCTGCAGTCTTGGGATTCCAAGAAATACCTCATGTGTGCTGGCATCATCGCCAAGAAAAATCCCAACATTAAAGAAGATGTCGAGGGCGAAGCGGAGGGTGATCTGGGGAATGGTTTGGTCACCAAGCACACCTATGGGGTGTTGGGATCCTACGAGGGACATGGCTTGGAGTTGGTTCGAGTTCGGAATCCCTGGGGAAAGAAGCAAGAGTACGACGGTGATTGGGGTGACAGCTCGGAGAAGTGGAAGGAGCATCCAGAGGTGGCCAAGGAGGTGAATTTTCAGAAGCGAGTGGATGGGGTCTTCTGGATGACGATTGCTGACTTCTGCAAGTGGTTTACCATGCTGCAAGTGCTGAAGAAGAGCCAGCCAGGAGAGCGAGCGGTTGACTCGCCCTATGAAGAGAAGAGGGCTGAGAAGGTGAAAAAGGCCCGGGAACGAGCCCAACGCATCAGGCGTGAGCTCTACGACAATGGTGGATGGTACACCGATGAGGCAGTCAGTTGGAGAGGTGACAAGATGCCCAACATGCGAGTCTTCCAAGATCCGGATCTCTTCGACATCGTGACGAAAGCATACATGGAGCATTGGGGAATTCCGGAAAACAATGCCAAAGACTTCGCAGAGCATGCCAGGACCAAGCTACCTCCCAAGATCGAGCGTCTCTTGGCCAACAGGACGAAGGCCAAGAGCAAACGGGAAGAAACACCTCAGTGGATGAAGGGTGAAGTCTGTGGAAGCCTTCCTCCAGGCCCAGACTCAACCGGCCCTCCGGACTCAACCAGCCCCACTGCTGCGGGCAGCGGCCTGGGTGCTGTCCGAGCACTGCAGAAGGAGGCAGCTGAGGCCGAACCTGACCCCTTGGCCGAAGCCAGGGCCGAAGCACTGCGCAAGGATCGGGAGGCCATAGCCAAAATCAGAGCCGAGATGGCAGCCAGGCAGGCTGGGCAGGATGCTGAGGCTGGGAAAGAGAAAGAATCCACACCCATCGATGATGAGGGTCGCTATGCGGCCTTGTTAGAGGCAGAGAAGAAGGGACTCTCTCAAGCAGACAAGTGGGCCGCCATGGGCATGTTCTGAGGGGCTCCTTGATTTGAAGAGGCTATTTCACACCCGATCCCAACACGGAATTGCAAAATTGAAAGAAATCTGTTGGGCTTAATCTTAAAGCCTCTTAAGCAGACAAGTGGAGCGTCAGTCATGGGCATGTTCTGAGGGCTCCTTGCTTTGTATCACTTTGCATTCTTGTATCTTTTGGTGCTGACTTTGCCTCTAAGAGGCTATTTCGCACCCGATCCCAACACGGATTCGCAAATTTGCAAGAACTCTGTTGGGCTTAATCTCGAGCACCGTTTGTCGCCAATGGCAAAGTGAGAAAGAATGCCAATCGTTGATGCGCCGCTTTGTTTCCGGCTGAGATCCAGGGAACCATGGCCGCTTCAAGCTGGCCGGCAGGTGCTTTGCTGTATCGGCCTCTGCCGGGAAGGCTCTGCCAGCGCCGCCACAGCTGTGTCGGAGGTTTATGAGAGCCGTTGCCCTTGTTGGATATGCTTCTTCACAGCCTTCGGCAGCTCTTCCCTCCTAGCAATGCGTCCTCCAGCCCGTCACCACATCCCATGCAGCCTTGCGCCCTACGACTGTTGTGCCTGATAACCTTGCATCCCGTGCTGTCCCGGGCTGGTCAGTGCACACGCGGCGCTCGAAAGAGCCCTTCAAGGTCCAGATCACGAGAAGCTAACTTCGACCTGGCCTCTGGCAGCCTGGATTTGGATGTTTTCCGGGGATTTGCGATTGAAGCTTAAATAAATACCTGTACTATTTTGGATTTTTTACTATATTTATCGTATAAGCGGGCCCTAAACCCTACTCTAATTATTCAGGCCACTATTTTAGGGTTCAAGTTTACGGTTTAGCGTTTCGGGGATCTTGCTGGTCATAGTATAAGTAAGAGTGTAACTGTCGCTTTAGTCATTTGGAGGATCCCATGCTTTATAGTTGTGAGCATTTCTTAGGCGCCCAGCGAAGTCAAGCTCTTTTGTCATCAGAACTCCCAACGCCTTCGCGGTATAACAGAAAATGCCATCTAGCAAACCACGTTGTGCAGCAAAAAGGATTATAGGCAACACTGCACCCAAGCTCATAATGAACCCTCGACGGAGGATTCCCAAAACTACTCTCTGCCCTACATTGGGACAATAGGTGACACCATTCCTAGTTCATCAAAAGCCCCTAAACCCCTAAACTCCTAAACCTCTAAACCTCTAAACCCCTAAACCCTAAACCCCTAAACCCCAAAACCCCTGAACCCTGAAAGCCCCCAAACCTTTAAACCCTAAAACCTAAAGCCCTAGGCCAGAACTTTGCCCGCTCTAGCCGCCCCATGCCTCCGAAGCCTCATGGTAAGGAACGTCTTGGTGGATCGTGAAGCTGCGACTTGTCATCAAGCTTCGGCGGCAGAGCCAAAAACAGGGGCCTTTGCTTTTTAAGTTTGTCTGGGCGTGGTGATATCGATGCAAGCTGCGTCTAATGCAGGGAGTAATCAGAGCAGGTTTTGGGAGTCCCGAATACTGTTTTATCAGTTAAGCTTCCACTTCATAAGTTTGTAAAGGCGCCATCAACCCAAAAAAGGATTACCTGCCAGTATTGCCTAGACATATATCAGTGTCTGGCCACATTGAGATACAGTCACACTTTCCTGTGCAGGCACCTTTTTACTACGTAAGCCTTTCACTTTATGTGGATGTTCTGAAATTCAATTTTCGACACCGGGAGCCCCTAAGAGCTAGCGGCATGGCAAGCCCAGAGGGTGTTCTGCTGACAGGTGTCAGGCTGTTGTCCAGGCTTGGGTATAAGTTGGTCATAGATTACAAGAACATGAATGCAAGGAGAAGCATAAGAAATCAGAATTGGCCGCTAGTGACTGTGCAGTGACAGTCTCAACGCGGTGCGAAAGGGCCGCACTCTTTGAAACAGGAAAATCATACTGAAATTATAATAAGGGCACCCCAAATAGTAACCCTAAACGCTAAACCCTAAAGGTAACTATTTCGTCCCCTATATTAACTTGTCGTACTACCCCCAGTGTGAAAGCGCTTTTTACAGAATCTCGGAACGACTTCGACATCGGAACTGCACGATATCTGGGTTTCCGAAAACGAGGGGTACCATATGGTGGTGCCCTTTTGAATAAGGATAGTACCCTAGATAGTAGGGTCCCCTATGTTCGGAAACCTCCATGTCTCGATCCCAGAGTCCACGGTTTAGGGTACAGCTGTAAGAGGATTTCGGGCACCCGAAGAAACTCGAGACCCCTCTCAGCCTCATGCCCCAAGCCCCTAACGCATGCATGCGTCATGGGGTATGCGTGCAGTTTGCGCTTACGTTCTGCAGTTGCCTTGGCCCTGAGTATACAGCATCCCAAGCCTGGACTAATCTCAGGTGCGACAGAGACACAGGCTGACTGGAGCAACAAAAAAGGGCTTACGAGCTTAACAGTTGGGATCCAGCTTCCCTTAATTGGTCCTAACCCCTAACCCGCGAACTCCTAAAAATGTGCAAGCGGACTTCGGATTGGGTTTGACAATTCTGCCTTGTAACAGAGTGAAGGGTCGCAGCCCGCCGGTGACATGGCCTTGGCCCATGAGTGTGAGAACGCAAGTGGCCAGGGCCTCGGTACGCCTAGGACTGTCAAAACATAGGTAGTCCTCTCAATTGGGGTCCCTTTTCATTGACCCTGATGTAGAGAACTACCCAAATGACGGTTGTATAGGGACGTCAAGAATTCCGCTAAGGATGTATTGGGAATCTAGATGGGCTGCATAGTAATAGGGGTCTTAATGATTGAATCGGGCTCCTTTCAAGGATTCTATAGGAGTTCTATGTCTTTGGGGCGTTCATAAGCAGAATGGGGTTTGGCGTATCTTGCGGCATATAGTTACACGGGACTAAACAGGGTCTGCAATGGTAAGGATCCCACTGTTAAGGTTCCATATGTGGGGCCCTTCGTTTCGGAAATGAGCACTGTGCACTTTGTGGGTTAATCGTGATTGAGAGTTGAAGACGATACATCTCTATGACATCTCCATAAAAGCTGCATTCTTTAACAAATGCTGGCTCGAACTGAAACTTCCGATTTTCGGAGCTTTGTGATTTGGCTCATCCAATGCAGATGTTCGAGGCTCGTAAATCCACCCCTAAACGCCACGTACGAACCCATTGTGTAAGTCGGAAAGGTCATTATGCAGCAAAGCCCTGTTCGATTCTTTTCGACGTTGCTTCATCGGGAATTAGGGGGCCGCCAGCTTTTGTTCGTTCTCCTGTTCCGTGCAGATCGGCAGTTCCTCAAGAACTTAATGGAACCCTAAACCCGAAAAAGCTCTAGCCCGCAAGCCTATGCCCGAAGCCCCTGAGAAAACAACTGAAGAGGAAGGCTTAGCTTAGCAGTTTCGGATTTGACACTCCGTTTCAAGGGGTAGCACGTGGGGCCTTCCGTGAGAGGTTGTTCGAAACCGGAGGTCCTTCCCCGCGTGCTGTTGATATGGCTATTGGCGGGGTTTGGCTAGAATCAGGTCCAGCGTTTTAGCTATCCCCGTCCCGTCAGGCCGACATCGTAGCTGGATGGGATTGCGGGTTTAGGGTTGTGGGGTTTCGGGTTTAGGGTGTGGGGTTTGGTGGCGGTGGGGGTTGTTGAAAGCAGTCGCAGCACTAGCCGTATTGTAGTCGTGGTGTGGATGGTGGCGGTGGTCGTCGTCGCCACGTGATTCTGCTCTTGGTCGTCGTCATCGACATAGTACGGGGGCCCAAATAACTACCGGTACTATTTTGGAGGTTCCTTATTATAGTTACAGTACAATACCCCCCATTCCCCACCCAAGAAAAGTGAGAGGACGTACAGGACGCACACCAGGCGTTGTCACCTAGAAAAAACCCCTGAACCCCTATTCTAATCATCAAGGCCTCTATATTCTAGTATAGTAGCCCTTTGCCGAATCTACGGCCCGAAGAAGCTTCACAGAAACGCTGACCCGCGATTCTCACACTTTAACAAGGGAGTTTCCGCGAATTAGGGGTACATTAGGGTTTCTTTAAAGGGTTTCTTAAAGGGATTTGTAAGGGTTCTGTAAGGGGTTCAGGGTGTAGGGGTTTTCGAAAATACCTTAATTTGAGGTCCTTGTAATAAGGATCCTACCATTTAGGGTACTATGTTAGGGTCCCCTATTTTGGGAAACTCCCATATAGATGCCAAGATTATCCTGTAGGCTTCCTTAATATATCCTTGCGACAATGTGCCCCTAAAGCTTAACCCTATTCTGATCATTGAGGCACTCAAATTCCCCTTTACAGAACCCTATCCTAAGTGTCCCTAAGCCCGAAACCCGAAACCTCACACCCTAAACCCTAAACCCTAAACTTTACACCCTAAACCCTAAACCTTGCGCGTTTCGGACCTCTTTGTAACAAACACTCTCGAGGTTTCCAGGAAGCCCCCGGCAAGGCTGACGATGGCGCGGGGAGTCCTGTGAAGGCGTTCTGTGGGGTGGTGGTAGCGCTTCGGGTTTAGGGTTCAGCAGCTCCGGATTGAGCAGTTTCTAGCCGAGGTCGCTATTTCGAACCTGGAATTATACCCACCGTCCCCCATAATTCCAAAGCAGCAATAAAATACAAAGCTTACCATCTTCCCGAAGCCCCAAACGAGACCTCAAACGAAACCTTAAATCGAACCTGAAAGCGAGCCTAAACGCAACCCTAGACGGGACCCTAACAGGTACACGACAGTCATGCAACAACTTCAGAAGTCGTTGGCGATGGGTCCCGGCAACGGGTCAGGGAAAGGTGATGTGGTGTGGGCATGTCGCATGTCGAGCTTCGAGGTGAATCAACTCGGGTCTACAGTGAGGCTCTTTCGTTGCAATTTCCCTCTGACAGCGCCGAGAGAGACAGAGAGAGACACCCAATATACACATATTCATATATATATATATATATATATATATATATATATTCATATATATATATATATATATATATATATATATATATATATATTACACACACATAGATCGCAGCTTGCACAGTGCCAACTTTAAGACCGCCGCCGATACAGCGAGGCCCTCCGTCAAGCCTGGTTTTGGGCTTCTTTTTCTCGGCTCTGTCTTGCGCCGCCATGCGTTGGCCGTGGCAAGAGAAGCAACTGCGCGTCTGGTGGTCCTCCGGGGAAGAAGCAGCTAGTGTTCCGATCTCGGATAACATGAAACGTGATGCATCAACTGAAGGAGCATTTGCACATGCTCCTTGGGGTCCCCCAGGACCAGCAGCGAATTGTGCATGGAAATGTAATCCTGCACGACGGTAGCGAACTGGATTCAAGCACGGATGTGCAGCTGGTCGTGTTACTTCCTTTTCGCAACGCTTCCAGAGAGGATGCAACGAAGTTCATACGCGCAGTTGACCGCAACGATGTCGACGTGGTGGACAAGTTGTTGCAGAGCCGGCACGATCCAAACTGTGCCGCGTGGGTCCGCAACGAGCACCTCACACCCATCCTTGCTGCCGTCAAAAAAGGGCACCGAGAGATAGTGAGTTTGCTGTTGGAGGCTGGGGCGCGGGACGTTGACCGAGCCGCTCTCGAAGCTGCTGTGACGGCTGGCCACCTGGGCTCATTTCGTTTGTTGTTGGAGGCTGGTGGTGGTGCGGGCTGTGCTCTTCAAGACGCCTGTCGGCATGGTCGGGTGGAGATTGTCCGCATGTGGTCTGAAAGGCCTGATGCTTTCTACATACCGGCCCGTGTTTATCGTGAAACCCTGGTAGATGTATCGATGGCAGCTGTTGCATCGACCGAGAACTACTTTCGAATCCTGCTCTTTCTGCTGGAGGGTGGAAGGCTTGGGGGCTTCCCCTCGGCCGTGCTGGCCTCAGTAGTGGCCGCATGCAAGGTCGATTTCAGGGAGTTGCCCATCTCGTTTTGCTGCATAGCTGTCATAAGTGTGGCCGTATGCATCGTGTTCAGGTTGCCTGTGTTGTTTTGCCTGGTCAGCCCGACCATCTTTGGCATGTGTGTGAGATCATTCCGCGTCGTGCTTGTGCTGCTGTTGTCAGTCTTGCGCGAATTTTGAGAGGTGTTTTTTTCGCGCTTCTGTCATTATGAGTATTGGCCTGGAAATATGAATGGTTTCAACCGAAGAAAATTGCACGGGACTGTGTGCGCGGAAGCACGCGGAAGCAATCGGTCCGCGGAAGTTCCACCTTAAGATATGTCATGCGGCAGATATCCCAAAGCCATTCAGGGAGGATTGCAGGCTCCAGGTCCTTGTCAGTTGCTGAAGACGCCAGTTTCCACAGAGATTTCGCCAGAATTCTCTTGTAGAACCCATGCATGGAATTTGAGGACTGAACCCCCCGCGTATACAAACCCGAAAACCGCAGCGACCCTATAATGCCCTAAACCCGTGGCGTCCCGTCAAGAGGCAAAAGGCCGAGCTACATCGTTCCGAGATCAGGGCGGAAGCTTTCTTCGACAAAAAAGGGCGCACTCAGCTGTCTTAGTTGGGCTCCTTATTATAACAAGGATACCGTTAATGATTTGTTTACAAAGCCGACTCTAGTTCTTCCCCTGTACTATGCGTGTCAAGGACGAAAGCCGAGATGGACATAGGTTCCAGGCTAGGAACTGAGTTGGGAGGGAGCTCATGTTTCGCTACAAAACTCTAGTTACCACGGTTCATTGAGCCTTCGTCGTCCTCATTCTTCATCTTCAGGACCATCACGGCCATGTTCAGCATCAGCCCCTTCTTCAGCATCACCATCATCGCCTCCACCACCATCATTGATCAACAGCATCATCATCATCATCGTCATCGTCATCAGCGTCGTATTCATCAATCTCGCTATGTTAGTATAAGATTATGAGTTTCACAAGAATAAGGATATTGTTTTGATCATCATCAACATCATCCTCGTCACCAGCATCACCAGTGTCACCATCATCATCGTCATTACCTTCATCAGTACAGCCGCCGTGCCATTATCAACACTATCACTATCTCGCCAAAATGGCTGACATCACCGTCGTCCGTGGGACTTGCGGATTTGGTTACGAAATTTGGTGGCTTCGATTCCAGCGTGCTTGGGGGTTGCGGGAGTACCGTTGTTGGCGCATCTTCCAGTTATTTAGTTGTTTTCCCTTATAGTCCACATCTGACCATGCCATGAACAGAAGCTTTCTTCGGTTACACCGTAGTTCACAGGGGTTCCGTGAGGGGTTCTACAGGGGCACCGCAGGACATAAACCCTACAACCTAAACCCTCAAGCCTCAACCGTAATCTCTAAACTCAACTCAACTCCAGTCCCTAAACTATAATCGCTAGTATAGGGGCCCAAATGAATACCAATACTAATTTTAGGGGTTCCTTGTTATGATCTTTAGTACAATGGGCACCAAAACCCTAGTCTAATTATTAAGGCCTTTACATTACACTCTCAACCCTAAGCCCTAAAAGCTAGGTGGAAGGCTGTGCTTGTTGCCAGCAGGAATGGTTAGTTCTATCCACAAAATGATTCCCCGGAGGATCCAACTTCTGGCATCCTTGCGGAAGGGGTAATAGCGCCATCAGTGACGCTTAGCGGAGTTGCGCTGTTGCTCTAAACCCCAACAACCCCAACCCCCAAACCCTAAACCCTAAACCCTGAAACCCTAAACCCTCAACCCCTAAACCCCTAAATTCCTAAACCCTAATCCCCTAAACCCCTAAACCCCTGAAACCCTAAACCCTCAACCCTTAAACCATAAACCCCTAAAAGCCTGAAGCCCTAAACCCTCAGCCCCTAAACCTTTTTTTTTTTTTTTTTTTTTAAAAAAAAAAACCCTAATCCCCTAAAAGCCAGGTGGAAGGCTGCTCCAGCGCCATCTCAACCCCTGGTCCGACGAAGCTGATCCTGGTCCCCGGCCCGGCACGGCCGAAGTTTTTCGGGGCATTTAAGGTTCAAAGGGTTCCTTAAAGGGATCCTTATAGGGTTCCTTAAAGGGATCCTTAAAGGGATCCTCATAGGGATGTATATGGGGTTTATGGTTCAGGGGTTTACAGTTTCCATAAATGCGGATACATAGTAAATTATTGGGGTTTCCCTATTATGGTAGCTTAGATTAAGTTCCCTAGCAAGACTCAGTTTAGGGTTTAGGGATTAGCAGGGTTATTGGGGTTAAGGGTTTTAAGGGTTAAAGGTTCTGGGGGCTAGGGCTTATTAGGGTTTAGGGTTATTGGGGTTTAGGGTTGTTAGGGTTTTAGGGTTTAGAGGTTTAGGTGCTCAAGGTTTGGTGGGTTTAGGGTTAAGGGGCTTAGTGGAGTAGAGGTAGGTGTTTCTGGGTTTTGGGGTTGAGGGGTTCAGAGGTTTGGCGGTGTAGAGTTTAGGGATTTGGGTCGTGGGTTTGAGGAAATTATGTGTATCCGCGAGTTGTTTTGCGTTTGAGGTAATTTTGAATCGTCGTGTGTATCGACGGGTGTTATTGAAACTAAAGGAGGTGAACCTCGCCCACTGCCCGAGATGCGAAGCATTTTCAACACGTCTTCCATCCAGATTCCCAATTTTCGCACCGAGGTTCAACGAGGAGGTTGCTGCGGGGTTGGAAGAGAAGGGTTCGATTGGTGTGCATAAGGGCATCATTCGGTTCCGCACAACTTAGATAGTGAGCGGGGGAACTTTAAACTTTTTGGCCTTATATATTAGCTCTGTTCTAGAAGTTTGAGCTTTTTGTTGAAGAAGAGAGACAACAGTCCCAACTCATGTCGTCTTAAAACCGAAACCGGCTTCCTGCAACGAGGACCGGAAGTTCAGCACCCAGTGGTATTTAGGGACCACCGGCAGCCAGTGTAAGCCCTAAGCCACAAACTTTGGGTACTGCCCCCACTCCGTAACAGTTATATATTCAAAGTATGGATATATTAGGACCTTGATAGTAACCCTATTATAGACTGTTACTCTATGGGGGCAGTACCCAACGTAAAAACTAACATGTCGTAGGATCCTTGAAGCTCAGTTTGGCTGAGGACTCCCCGCTTGGTGGGGTGGACATTCCGAAGTTGTCCCTGACGCCGCAAAAGTGGGCTTCATCGGCCAAGGCAGTGTCGATGCAGAGGAGTGAATTTTCGGTAAGAGTATCTTCACTAGCATATGATGTAAAGTTGTGAAATCAATCGTGAATAGTAGTCAATAGTAACCGTATGATATACCCAACAACCTTGTTCTAAGCATTCAGGTCCATACATTAGGGAGCGTTGAAGATGTCGGGGAGCTTGTAGCTCAAGTTTCCAAATTGGGCTGCTAGGATTTGAAGCCATCTCATACCATTTGAACTCGGTTTAGGGTTTCGGGTCTAGGGATGCAGGTCAGGCTCATTTCTAGCGAGACCACTTGCACACAACACGACGCGATTTACAACACATGCAGATCAACGTAGACGACACGCGCGCACACGCAGCACAACACACACACACACACACACACACGACACAGAGGACACAAAGGTACTGGCAACTTCGACAACTGGGTGACAAACAAACGCAGCAAGGGAACTCTCCTACACCGAACAACAAAAACACTTAGAACCCTGCACCCTGAAGCCCTAAAGCATGGCATCTGCACCCTAAGCCCCAAAGCCCAAAGCTGAAAAAAAAACCTGAACCATAAACACAAAACCCTAAAACCCGTAACTGTAATCACAGATAGGTCTTTCAGTGAAACCCAGAGCCCTACTTTAAAACCTAAACCGCGTGCCAGGGCCGCTTCACGCCACGCAGCCGGCCATCCCCCCAATCGGTGCAGTCGCGGATCAGGCTCCTGGTCGGAAGAGCAAGACCAGCCCAGAGAACCCAATATCCCTCAATTAAGGAATATACCTTAAATCTCACTAGCAATCCTATTATGATTTAAGGTATATTCCTTAATTAATTAAGGGGTATTGGGATCTCTGGGCGAAAGCCATTCCTTTATAAGGACACTTCTGCCACTGCTGCTGCTACGACTACTACCACTACCACTACCACTACTACCACTACTACCACTACTACTACTACTACTACTACTACTACTACTACTACTACTACTACTACTACTACTACTACTACTACTACTACTACTACTACCACTTCTACTACGACGACGAGTGGAGTTTGGGCTTTGCTTCCTGCTTTGTTTGTCCTTCCTGGGCCCGCCCTTGGTCATTTAGCCCTGAAATTCTGAAGCTCCCTAAACCCGAAACCTTAAACCCTAAACCTTAAACCCTAAACCCCAAACCTCAAACCCTGAAGCCCCGAAGCCCTGAAGCCCTGAAACCCTGAAACCCTGAGGCCCGGAAACCCTGCAAACCTCAAAGCCTTGAGCCCCGGAGGCCTTGAGCCGTTAAACCCTTAGGCCCTGCTTGGAGGATCACGGGGCTTAGGAAGTGAGGTTTAAAGGGTTCCCTTAATAAGGGCTCCTTAAAGGGATCTATAGGGTTTAATAAGGGCTCCTTACAGGCATCTTTGGGGTTAAGGGCTTAGGGTCTACTTGGAGGATCATGGGGCTTAGGAAGTGAGGTTCCTTACAACGTTCCCTTAATGAGGGTTCCTTAAAGGGATCTACAGGGTAGAGGGTTTAGGCCCTGCTTGGAAGATCTTGGGACGTAGTAAGTAAGGTTAGAAGTACCTGAATTGGAGTTGTAAGCGCCTAGAACGACAGCTGCCTTATTTATAACCCTAGTTACTCAGTCCCATGATCCTATATGTAAGCCCGTAAAACCTTTAAGCCCTAAAGCTCAAGGCTCTAGACCATGAACTTCGGGTGTCCTGACTACCCCATAGCTTCCGACACCCTAAACCCCGAGACAAGCACACCACGGTCCCGGTCAGGTTTTGGAGTTTAGGGTTTAGGGCTTAGGGCTTAGGGTTTAGGGCTTAGGGGTTTAGGGGTTTAGGGCTTACGGGTTTAGGGGTTTAGGGGTTTAGGGCTTAGGGCTTCGGGTTTGGGGTCTATAGGGCTGAGGGTTTCTGAATGGTACATGACGTTTCGAGCTGCATTTCGGGCTTCTGAGTGCCGGGGTGCAGGCCTTCTCCCGGTGCGCAGCAAGAGGGGCGAGGCCTG